AACTTCTGTTTTGCAGCAGACTGCCTTGTCTCAGGAATGGATACATGGTGTCTGTGTGTAGGTTTGCAACCTGAGCCAGCACTACAGGAAGAGGCACTCAGCTGCAAAGGGAAGTTCTCCCAAGCATGAGAAGACATGAGGATTTAAAAGGAATAGCAGCAAAGAGAAGGGAAACTACCATGGATTACAGTAAGGCACACATTACAGTATTGGTTTATGTTAAAAAATCTGAGGGTTTAATGTCACTTTAACATACTATTTTACCACACACTAGGAAAGAATCTTTTACAACAACATTTTATTGGACCGGCTAGTAGTATTATTCACCTTCAATTAGACTTTTTCTATCATTTTAACCAGTTGACATCCGCGGTGTTAAACCCCCTTCCCATCCAGGCCATTTTTCAGTGTTCAGCGCTGCGGTACTTTGACTGACATTTAGTTTTTCTGCTTATCCAAGCAGCTTCCTCCTTTATGAGGACCCATTCAAACCAGTGTGATGCAATGCATGCATTGTTGTCCATTGTGGCTAGCTGCATTAAACAGCCCATTTAAAATGAATACGCTAAAACACACCTCAACACATAAGAAACTGGGGCAGGCATCATTTTACACATCACATCACACAGGACACTGTGCATGGTGCTCTGGTGCTTTGCAATGGATGTGCTTTTTGGAGGTGCGGGTGTGCCATTCCCAATGAATGGTACTGCAGCACACCACCATATGTACCCTGCATTAACATAAGGCCCTGGTATTAATGGGGCCCTGAGTGTCAGTAACATACCCCAGCATTTATATCTGGGGTTACATGAGTCACCTTAATCTAATCATCATGTAATCTGTCAAAGGTGATGTGGATTGTCAAAGAATATGATGGCAAGTGTGAAAGTTTGTTATAACAAAATCCAATCCCATGGTGCCAGAAAGTCTTGGACACATTCATTAATAATTAATTAATTGTTTGAGTTACATGGCTGGAGGTGTGAATTGTCATCAAATCACAGGGGTAGTATTGTTAAAATGTGTTGGTGGCAGACCTTGTCTTGATGGTTGTTCCAGTTTAATGTACTTTCATGTCTCTTATATACCAGTTGTTATACAGTTTAAATGGCATTGTAATTAGAAAAACTGCAAACAGTGGAATTCTTGCTAAAATTACAAATGGAGTAACTGTCTGAAAAAGTGGAAAAGCCTTTAGTCAATATATTTTAGAAATGGGTTATTGACACAGAAGTTAATGGATTGATCATGCTATTTCTCTTTCCTCTACTCTATTTTTTTTATCGCTATTTCTCTGTTTTTCTTCCTCTTTTACTTTTTATGGTGGTCCTCAATGATACATATAGCTATCTGCATCATTAAATGTGAGTGCAGGGGTCCATGGCACCCTGCACTCACAGAATGTCTTCAGTCGGATACCATGTTGCATATGGTAACAAAAGCAGCAGAGCAGGTTTGTCAAGGACCAGCACATGAAGATATACCCAATTTTGTGAAAACACCTTTGGAAAGAGGAAGAAAAAAAAACTTTTGCTGTAAGAAACATTTCCTACATTTAACATCACAAGAAATATTGTGTGTGCCCTTGCAAAAAAAATCTAATGAAATATAGAAGATGTTTTAGTGCATCAAACATTAGATCTAAAAGGAAGCATTATCCTATAGTGTCCCTATAGATGTATCATTTTGGACACACAGCCCTGGAATAGAAAAGTGCAATTAATCAATAATATTTCTATCTCTCTACTTGATTTTTTTATTTAAAAAATTGAAGCAACAAAATATTCCTCTTATACACAATGTTAGGCGTTTAGGCCTTGTTTTGTGCTCTCCATTAGACACTGTCAGGATGAACTGAAAGTCTGAAATCTCTAAATTTATATCTTTGTATCCCCTGGGAACAGAAAAACATCAAAATGATTTCTGTTGGTGTAGTAAAAAAGAGCAACACGAGTTTAGACTGGGTTGACAAGTAGCAATATTTGTTCCACCGTGACTTTCTTTATGATCTCAGAGATAAAAGGAAACATGCAGGAACTTGAAAGTAAATTCACATGAAGGCTTGGATTTTCAGAGTGAGAGTGCTAAGACAGCTGTTCCATAAACGGAAGGAAATCTCCCCATAGGGTGCAAGTTGATTTAATGGGAAATTCTAAGAAGATTTTTAGCCAAAAAACCCCCACAACAATGTCTTATATTAATATGTTTAACCTGACGTAAATAAATGATTCTTGTGCAAAAACAGCTTTTATAATTGTTTTGATCTGAGAAACTGCATTGAGTATGCTTTTAAACCACTCAGAAAGTCCCACTGTTCGTCAGACTGGAGCTGAAGGACATGATAGCCATGCCCCCACAGCTAGGTATCGCCAAGTAACTGAAAAGATTCCAATATTTTAGCAAACGCTGCAAACAGTCCTGTGATATAAAGGGTATAATATCAATCACATTCTATTTGTACTCATCAGAATGTCTGTTTACTTTTAGGGTAAATTCATCATGTAAAAATAATTACCTGTTATGGATTAGCCTTCTCCTTCCATGTTTCTAATTGATTGATAATTGTATGGTTGTTGACAGACAGCAAACTCTTTGGGGTCTATTCATCAAGCTGCCGAGGGCAGCCGAGTGTATGACCGATCTGAAGTGAAGTGAGCCGAACACTGTTCGGCTATTCACTTCAGGCTACCTTATAAAAAATAATACCAAAGTATGATACAGGTGAGGGACAGTTATAGGGATAGATTTGTTTTATACATTTTTAAAAATACAATATTTATGTATAATACTCCTCACTCTTCCATTCTCTTCTCCAGGGGTAGCAACACAAACAGTTGCCATTTGAAGCCTTCCTGTTGCAGAATTGTTTGCCCCTGTGCTCACATTGTCACACTGCTGATGACACCCCTTCTTTTCATGCCTAGCATTAATATTTCCTTTAGATGACTCCTGCTCCTACCTTCATGCCCTCTGCTGATGAATTTCCCATAGTTGATGTGTCCCCCTATTGACCGCAGATGCAGGGCTGTAGCTACCATGGGGCGAGTGAGGCACTGGCCTCAGGCGCAGCTGAGTGGGAGTGCAGCCAGGGCCAGCCTGGCTGCGAAATAAACAGAAAAAAAAATGTTTTCATTAGATTTCATCAAACAAAAATTTTTTATTTTATGCCATAGTGAGCAAACAGTGCCATTGGCAACAGGGGAGCAAGGCGGCCAACACAGCTGCGGCTCGGCAGGGAGAAGAGGAGCGGCACAGGCTCCAGTTTCTCCTCGGATCCCCGCTGCTCTCCTCCACCTGTATGGGCAGAGGACTCTGTGTCCTCAATCTCTTTTTCTATTTCAAAAGGGAAATGTCAGTGATCTGTTTAGACCCCTAATATTTCCCTGCAGCCCCCCAACAGTAACCCCCCCCCAAAAAAACACCCCCACACACACAATTATTACTAGACATGTGCAAAGCCTAAACATTTGTTTCGGACGAAATAAACAGAAAAAAAAATGTTTTCATTAGATTTTGTCATACAAAATTTTTTTATTTTATGCTATTTCGGATTTGGCCACCAGCGCAATCTGTGCATGCCTGCCGCCATCCTGGAGGCGGGTCACATGACGTCACATACCGCACACCTCTGTTGGGGGGCACATTTTTCTGTTCTCACCTCGGGCGCAGAAGGAGCTAGCTACGGCTCTGCGCAGATGTTTTCCACCTCTCATAACCCCTTCTGATGCACACTCTGCTGCTGCCTGCTCACTCCAGACAGTTCTCAGATATACAATATATGCAGGGCGACTAGCTTCCTTGGTATGTAATCTGTAGTACTGCTATGTCAGGTAAAAACCTTTAAAGGACATAATGACCTGGCACTCCAGGGATTCTGTTAGGTAATTATCTTGTCAAAATATGTACTGCTTGAAGGTACAACATTATTTCATATACTTCTGTGTCAAAGTTAGAAGTGCTAGAAGGAAGCACCACCAGAGTATGGCATAAACATTTTATTAAAAATGTAAATAATAAGGGCTGCAATAATGTGACACCTAAATGAACACAGATATATATAATGTGCAAATCTGTAAACAATAAGCTGCTGTGTGACTTCCAAACAAATTGTGAATGGATTCTCAAATCACAGCACTAACAAACTGATACTAATCCCTATGTGATCCACTCTTAACTAATTAATATACATGATAATAACAATAAAAGTGATTCATAGTTTGAAAGACAACAAAAAAGCAACAACAAAGAAATGTCCACAACCTGCTCACAAACACCTTTTGTGAAAAAAATAAATCAATATTTTAAATTCAATCCCAGTTTTTATATAATCTTCAGAACTTTTCTCAGCAATCCATCAGTGCTATTGTTAGTGAATCTCAACATGCTCCTTCATACAAGGCACTCACCGGATCCAATGTGATCTAGTATAAATATACTTTGGTCATAGCAAGCAATCCACGTTCATGTTATTTGTCAGATGGCTTCTCACCACACAGACAGATTGAATGGCATCAGTATTGAAATGGTGACCCTTTCAATATTTCCTCTTGAACAGGGCAGTAAATGACATCATAATGTAAAACTATTTATGCACTTACATTTAAAATAGGATAAATCTGCATAAAATCTCTCCCAAATTCCAGGTGCAACTCCACTCAGCAGTCCACACAGGAGTGAAACATCATTCTAGAGTCAGAATAACATATTGGTCAAATAACACCGTGTCCTATTCAGATGCTTTCCACTGTGCTCAGTTAAATAATTACATACTGGTGTAAACTTCAACCTGTAGTTATGATTAGTTGGACCACTGGTGAGTGAGAGCAGCGAGAAGATGGGGCTTAGGTGCTCTGCAGGTAGCTGTCTGTACCTACCCTTTCTGTGAGTTTTGCATAATGGAAAGTGCATGTGTCTTAAAACATAGAGATGTGTGTGGGCCAGGGATAAAACTATATGCCAACTCTCCATTGATTATTTTTATCTTTGTCTTTTCATAGGATTACTTTACAGATAGTAAAAGAGTTCTTCACAGAGACACCCAGCAAAGTTATCAACTTAAGTATGCAATAGAAAATGGCACACACACTACCCTTGAGTTCAGCCGAGCTCTTCAAACCTGTGACCTGTATGATAAAAATATAACGGTAAGTTAATAGCGTGAAAAAAAATAATAAAGGAGAATTCAATTTCAGTGTTTAATATTATGCTAAAATATTGGATGAAAAGAATGACATTTTATTCTTACAACATTTCAGGAAAGCACAATACGAATTATTTGGGCATACCATGATAATGACATTGAAGGCACTGGGCCAACCTACCATGGGTCAAATCGTGGTCAGAAGAGCTTACGCCTACTTAACCCAGAAAAAAATGTTATGTTTGAAGAAAATCAGTCTTTCAGCTTTACACATCAGAACGTAAGCTTCTCTCATGTTTTATTTGTTGACAGCAAATTACTCTTTTCTAGCACCGATATTTAATCATACCCTTTCACAAGAACAATATATTGATCTCTTATCTTCAAATCTGTGTGAGAAAGAATTTCATTCTAAGGGGGGGAAGTGACACCTCTGTGTTTAGTGTGTTGTGCATGTGGTACGTTACCCGGTTTAACTCTCCCATCTGTATACCCCTTATGGATGAGGGATTTTAAAATGTCTGCCTGTTTACTTGGCAAAAACGTTGGTGTTACTTAAAGAAGAACTCTGGGGAAAGTATTCTTAACCGTTGAAGTGGGCCCATCCCCGAACTGCAAGGGTTAAGTGATTGTTTTGGTCTAACTTTTTTTTTCTAACTTTTTTTTTACATTTTGTGATTTCTTTTTAAACATGTTACTAAAAAAATTAAGGAACAGAACAGATGAAAACTGAGAAGTTTAAAAATTAATAAGAAAAAATAAAACAAAAATCAGCATCAAAGGTTTAGCTAAGGGAAAAACAGGAGGGAGGAGTTAACTACATTTAATGATGTACTAATGGCACCAAAGCTGCATTAATTTGGTTCAGCTTTAAGCTACCTATTTTTTTTCAAGATAGGTTCCTATTCCATATAAAGACACAACTTATTGGTGTCAGATGTTTAAGATTCCAGTAATGAACAAGAAGCACCACGTCATTAAGGTATGTTTATTTTATTTAACCTTAAATTATAAAGCGCAACTGCATTTTCACCATTAACCATATATTTGTACTTGTGCAACTTTTTGGATCGAGAACGGAAGGGTTGAAACCCTATTGTTGAACTTAACAAACCCTTTTTTTTGTTTTGTTTTTGCTGCCCGTGTCCCCACTGGGGAATTTTCCCTTTACGTTCTGGCCTAGAGAACAACAGGATCTCCACATAGTGAGGGGAAATTCCATACTAGACATTTGTCACCCAAACATGTGTCACCATTAGATAATACCCTCATCCCTTGTTGTGGTGACAACTCTCCCCACCTTTCTGTCTTTGTGACAATGGACTCCAGAACAAATAGAGAAGCGAATCTTCCCAGCCATGAAGACCGCAATAAAACCTTGATGGAGGGCCTAACCCTTCCCACCTCTATCCAAAACTATAAAAATATTTTGCCTTTAAGTACACTTTAAGTTCTAGCCTCCATGGTAAAGTGATAATGTCCCCTGCCAATTAATGTCTGCTTGATAATGGAAATATTAATGTTTGCTTCTATGCTAATTATTATTTATTTCATAAATATGGCAAAAATAAAACTTAAGCTTGGAACCAAAGTGACAGATTAACTTTGCAGCTGTGTACGTGAAGGACCACTAGATGGATATGCCCATGCTTATTGGGGCCTGGTTTTTTAAATATTTTTTTTACATTTTCTGTGATCCTGGACACAATAACCACATCTTCTGCTATACAGATGTTATGTAATTTAATTGTGTCCAGACTTATGTAACAGGACATCCTAGCAAATAGGGCCTCCCACCATAATACCATAGTCCACTAATCAAGCAAAACAAAAGCGCCAAAAACGGATCATAAAACTGAGGAGTGCGTATGCGGGATTGCTAGGGGTGCTGCCCCACTTCAGCCAAGGGAACTGTATAACTGGAAGACAAAAAAAAGAGAAGGGCGCCCCCCCTAGTGCAGATGGTTCTTTATTGTTTAAAAATAGCAAAATAGAGTGCAAAGGTACTCACAATGGTAGATCGATTAGAAGCATAAATGAGTAGTTCAAGGATACATCAGTTTACAAACTTCAATCAGCCTGTGTGCCAATATGGAGTGGCAATGTTAACGCGTTTCCGGGGTCATGCCCCCTTCTTCAGAACATGTTTTGGAAGAAGGGGGCGTGACCCCCGGAAACGCGTTAACGTTGCCACTCCATATTGGCACACAGGCTGAATGAAGTTTGTAAACTGATGTATCCTTGAACTACTCATTTATGCTTCTAATCGATCTACCATTGTGAGTACCTTTGCACTCTATTTTGCCATTTTTAAACAAATAGTCCACAATTGTTTATGGTCACAGAATAAAGCCATGATACCCAATGATGCAGAGTGATTTTTATTATTTTATTTGATTACTTTAGTGTTAACCAGTGTGATCCAGTTATACCAGAGTGATGCCACATTACTAGTGTGATGCCACCATGATTTCATGTTACCAGAGCCAGTGATGTCTTTTAAATAAATGGGGGTTGTTGCAGAGATAGAAAACTTGGAAAGCCAGCTTCTTGTAACTACATTTCTCTCTTGTCTCGTTTGTTATACATCAAACGTCCTTAGATGACTCTGAAAGCTTTTTTAATAAGTGCAGAAGTCTCTGTTAAAAAAAAAGGCTTCTTCTAGCATAATACAATGTCAGCGTACAGTATATATGTGCAAGATATACTACCCACTGCCAACCTATGTTTGACCACTGTAGGCTGTCAGTATTAAACTGAGAACTATACATTACACATCCTGTATTACACATGAACAGAAAATTGTATTCAGTAATACTGATGAACAGAGGTGCAATGAGTCAGTGAGTAGAAGCCCCAGCTGGCAATCTGACTCCACACTGAATGGCACCATGTGCTACCATGGTGGTCACACATTGCTCAGGCTTATTATGCTCACAGTTAGTTGGAGAGGATGTGCTTTTAATGTGCAATCTATCTGGGGAGAAATGTAAAGGGTAGTTGTCCAGCAGAAAATATGCTGTCCTAGGAAAACTTTTAAGTAAAGATTTTTTTTGTGTTTTCTTGGTCTGTGGATGTCCAAATGACAAATGGACTAAAGTTCAATAAGAGAGTTATTGATAGTATGCAGAGGAGGCAAACTCTGACCTTCAGTACCTAATAAATGCCACTGAATGACAGCATACAATCCAGCTCATAATCAGTGCTTTTATTCCATGTCCCATAATTGTTGCCCTCCCTTTACATTGCATCATGTTCATGGAGAGTAGACAGACAGTCACTTCATTATCCCTATGTCAAATGTACTCTTGTTGTATTCTGGTTACACGGTAAATTATATTGACATAACATACCACATATAAATATAATTTCTCTTCTATTATACATGTAATTTATGTCCTAATGCATTTTGTATGTTTATTTCCTAACAATTGCAAATATGGTCAATTATATAGCCCAAGAACCAGCTATACAATTGGCTTTCTGTCAGCTGCAACAGCTGCAGACAAAATGGTTTCATCATCAATCATGCATTTACAACACTGTTGAGCAGTTCCCAGATGGCACCTAGCTCACAGTTCTTCCAAAACCTCTGCTATAATAATAAGTAGTCTGCATATCAGTAGTACAAATTAAGGAGCCTTTATGTAATTTACAATCATGCTGTGGGCAGGGGATGAGCGTTTTTCCTCATTGTTACCTGTATAAACTAATTTTAAACAAACTGAAAAGTGATTTTAATCTTCCAAAACCTGTTATTATGTTCAGATACAAATTCAACCTATTGCCTGACTTTGAAATAATGTATGCACTTTGCCTCTGATTTAAAGCTGAACTCTGGTAAAAAAAATGTTTGAGGTGTGTAACAAGGCTCTAATAAGGTGTATGCTGTTTAGAGGGCTACTAGTATTAAAATCATACCTTGCAGCATGCCGGCTCGGATATTTAGTGCTAGTATTCAGATGTGGGGGAGATGCTGCTAAACTAGTGAAATGCTCAAATTGCATCCCCGCCATCTCCTCACTCCTTGGCTATTCACAAAAAGCCTTGTATTTTTCACACAGAAAACAAGGCATTCTGTGATTGGAGGATGAAAGGAGGAAGCAGGGATGCAACTTCATCTCTCATTGAACCTTCTTGTTAACCAGCTTCATGTAGCAATACATGTACCAATAATCCTTGCACTTTTATAATAACATGTGGTTCCTCTGAGCAAAAGGCTGCTTCTGAATTAGAGTTAGGTAGTTAAATCATCTTTGATATTTTCAGTGACACTTTCTGTAAACTATAAAAAAAACAACTTCCCAGTCTTACTTTACCTATATTTAGCAAAAGCCATTCCATCCTCTGAACTGTGCTGTCTATCACCAGGGATTATACCTCTCTGTCGGTCCATCTTTGGGTCTTTTTATGTAGTTGTTCATTTAAGTTATTAGCCTCTTTGCCAGCTTAACTAATGTTTACTGTACTGTAGCAAAACTGGATCCATTTGCTGACAAAACTTGCAGCTCACACTCAGATTGCCACCTTTTTATACACCAGTCACTTAAAGGAGAACCATGGGGTCAGTGCTTTTCCCCATAGTTCTCCCCAGGGTCACGGGTGGACACAAACTAGCGTCCTCCCGTGACCCAAAGCTCAGTATACCGCGAGCTACAGCTCGCGGTATACTGAGACCACCGCAGCCGGGACGGATCCCGACATTACTGTCGAGATCCACCCAGCAGCGGGATTGACAGCTGGCTCTGCCTATCTAGAGGCAGAGCCAGCTGTACCCGGCCCGTCCCCCGTTCGTTCCGCCAGTCAGCACTGGAGGATCAGACAGGGTAGGGGGGATCCCTGCAGGGAGCAGTGAGTGACAGTCATGGCTCTCTGCAGGGACAGGATCGAGAAGTGAGCGAGCGACGGTATGTGTTCGCTCACTTCCCGATCTATTGAGCCGACATGTGACAGTTTCATTGTCACACGTCGGCTCAAACTATGAGGCTGAGTGATTTTCCAGGGTTTTTGTCTTGCATGCATGCCCCTTCTTCCAAGCGGGTTCTTGCTCTGGCTTGGTCATGCAACATCATTATTTTTTTTTTACAGTCATCTTATAAAAATATTTTTCATTTACTTTGCAAGATCTCAAAAGGATTGATCTTCTGTCTCCTCACTGTACTACAGAGTTCTGCGGTGTACTGTCACTCACCTTCTACTTAAAAAAGGAGCGCAATTGCTATGCTCTCTCAGCTCATTCCTGTGCCTTCCCTCAGCTTACAAATTAGAGCCCAAAAATGTCTGTAACATACAAAGGCCCCTTTCTCCTAAATGCTTCTACGTTGTAGTAGCCAACTGGAATCCAGTGAATTGGCTTCTGTCAGGCACAGCTGAGTGGTTGACAATGATCCTTCCCTTCATCTGTGATCATGTGACTAGTACTGCAATATAACAGTAAGCTTTATACTTTATTTCAATTTTTTATTTAAAAAATGCATCAATTGCTTCTACTTGTGGTTTGGCATTCGTATAAATCACAATCACACTCTTTACCCCAGCATGGGAAAGCACAGATCCCCTTTAAGTTTGGTAAGTGCTGGAGTCAAATCTACTTTGATGCATATTTTGTATAACCTCCCTGTGTGTGGATTTTCTTCTATTGCTCTAGTTTAATCCCACATCCCAAAATATATACTGGTAGCTTCTCTGGCCTCTCTCCACATATGGATGACCCTAGATTATGTGTGCTTGCTAAATGGTATATGTAAATGGTTGTATAACATATGACAGGGCTATGTAACAACAGAAAGTTTGTTAATGTCTGAAGAATGGTGTTCAAGCAAAGTCCCTTAGAGAAATTCACCTTCACTTCCTTCCTACTGGCAATGGTTTCACCAGACATGAAATTAGGTAAAATCTGCAATAGGGAAATCTGACAGGTGCAATAGCCTTCCCCCTACTTTACTACAGAAAAAAACAATAATTTATATCTGTGTTGCTTCA